CGATATTCACATGTAAAATGTAGTAAATCAACAATTATCTGTTATGAAAGCCATTTTTCTACATTACTTGACAGGACTGCCCTTCATAATGATTGCCTTTCTGCTTTCATAGCAGACAAAAGTTCACCTTTGACCCATAACATCATATCCACTCACTCATGGTTGTGTAGAACCCCCAAGAATGTTTTTCTATGTCATGTTGCTTCATTTTCTCAACCATCCATCCATGAAAACAAAACGCTGTGGTTTCGGTGTAATAAAACGCATATTTCCTGCGATTATAGTTTCTAATCTTTGTTTTGTGGTCTCAGCATGCAGCTACATTTATTATTCTATGACTCTGCCGCCTGTCCAGCCTGTTCCCAAAGACGCCGTGTGTTGCTGGTTCATCAGAAGCCAGGGACACTGCTATACATATGGGAATTATTTAAGAGGAAAGATGAGATATAGCCAAAGAACAGAAAAAGAAAGGACAATAGATTGTCTGAAAACAGATTTACTACCACAGAGTTTTAGATCTAAAGAATTTAAACCAAACATTCAATTGACTTTTTGAGATATCTCAATCCATCAGCGCAAAGTCAGCACCTAAAATCATGAGGTCAGAAGAAAAAGAGGGGATTGTTACATGCAACTCGTTTGCAAACGTGCCAAACATTTGTTGATGCATCGCTGCAAAAATTTTATGAAACAAGCAGCAAAGATTGTTTTTTATTGCAAAACTGACAAACTGTTTAAAGAATACAAACTGTCATTTGTTAGGAAATCTGCATAAAGTACATATGAGACAAAGGAAGTGGTTCATGTAGAAGGCTGTCTGTTGGCACCATCTAGTGGTGGTTTTAGGAAATGACATCAAGATTATTTAATGTAAACAATAAAAAACAAATGTATTACCTTGGTTGTGTTTTAGTGCAGGCTAATATTAAGCTGCACTGTGGTTAATACATAAACTGTTAGTTAGATCTTCTGTGTGGAACCTGCGTTAGTCCCAGTCCCACTAACTTGTCTGTGCTGCCTTTTGAATTTATAAGAAAAGAAACTGAAACACGTATTTTATGTTTATTCTTAGTTTTAAAGAAGAAATTAACTTACAAGATAATTTTCATTAAAGCTTTAAACTTTTCTTCTGCGTCTGATGTACATTCATGCTATTTCATCCAGTTAGGCAAAAATAAATAACCCTAAAACCAATCTTTTAGAGCAGAGTTTGCTGTTCTGGCTGAAAAATGAGTTGTCACGTGTTTGTTAGGAAGGGTGGTAGCAACAGCTTTTCTGGAAACCGTATTTTTTGCTGAGAATCATGCTTTAGTGCAGTAGTTCTCAATCTTGGTCCTGGAGATAAGGGGGCTAAAATGTTCTATTCTAAAATTAATACAACTGTAGTACCAGCGTTCAGACTCTGGAGGGCAGAAACTCCCCATCTTCCCTTCTTTTCTAAATGCTTTTGTTCTGTTTATTGCCATCAGACAGGGCAAATACCCCATCCTGTCAATGCAGCGAAAAAGTGTTTAGATACATTTAAAGGAAGTGTTATGCAACAAGTTAAATTTATCAATCCAATTCCTTCTTCTGCTTCTACCACTCTTTCTTCACCACATTGTTAGAATTAACGTGTCCTAAAAGTGTGCTGTCATCTGCAAGTGATGAAGATGAAGAGATGTTTTCTGAATTCATATGTGGGTAAAGCTGGTCACGCTCCTCGTGCTCTCTCATACAGGTTCTCCTGACCTTTTTACTGTAGTGGTTATAGACAACTCCATCCATCCAGCTCAAGAACCTTCTCAAGTGGTTTTATCTTTTGGAGTTGTGACAGATTCTCCCAGGTGTGTCAGATCTTTAAACTTCTGTATGGTTGGGATTTTCTTTCCAACTGAGTTTAGATGGTTCTTTCACCTTTCTGAAAGCTCAACGTGGGCTTCTTTCTCAGCCTCTCCTTCTGTAACAACCTCAGTTTCATTTTCCTCCACTTCATCCTCCTGCTTGGATTCTTCTCCTGCATCGAGGACGCTGACTTTTGGAGAAAGGACCGTGCTGATATGTCTGGTTTCCCCCACACACACACGTCTCTGGCTGTGAGTGAGTGAGTGAGTGAGTGAGTGAGTGAGTGAGTGAGTGCATCCCATCCGCTGAATCACCAGTGGCTGGGTTTGTGAACATCTCGGATCCTGAAGGCTGTTGTGGGCGTCGGCTCCAGGCAGGCCTACCCTAGCAGAGTTTCCTCAGGTGAGAGGTCAGACCGGGCTCAACTGAGGCCTTTCCACGGAGCTAGCTCTGTGGTCACGTGTGTCTGATGCTCATTAATTATACAGAATTTTAGGCTTTTAATACACTTAAATAGAAGAGTGAGAAAAAATTCACCCCCCTCAGAGTTGTCATGAGTGTAAACTAGATCATTTAAACAAAAAACATGTTCTGGTACCAGGCTGTAAACATGTTTAATTCTGCTGTGAAATTTGTATTTTTAAGATGGGAGTCAATGAGGATTTGCTCGCTTCTGACACCAGTCCCCAGCGGATGAGGGTGGAACTGCAATTTTTCTTACTTCCGGGTTGGCCTCAATTTTAAAGCTGCATTGTGGGGGCCTGGGTCAGTCAGACTAAGAATGACTCAAAGATTTATTTCAGAGAAAGCCATGGAAAGATGCTTTTGTCACACACAGTAGCTGATTTAGTCATTTGGAGGCCCAAGGCGAACACAGGCCCCCTTACACTAAATTTTCGACAATCTTATCTTTAACTGGATTAGCGAAACTCTCCCCTCTTCTGACATGAGTTATTTTCACTTTTTATTAGTCCTCCTCCTTTTTCCTGACTCTCCCTTTGAGTGCCTTCAATATTTGCTCTGCTTTCTTCTTCCTGTCAGTGCCCCTGTGCTTTTTCCTTCTTTTTTTTCCTTCTATTTTCCATTTTGGTCTATGTTTTCCTCCCTTTAAACATTTTCCATAGTATTTCCTTTTCTGCTTCCTTTTGATGTTTACATGGAAAAACGACGTCACTTCGGAAGTGAAGATAAAAGCTTTTTTGAAGCAAGCTGCTTCTTTCTCTTATTGGAGCCTCTAGGATAACTGAGTTTCATGCTTAATGGTTTGACTATCGCTTTGAGTTTGTTACGAACGCTCCCACCTCTCTTCTTCTGTTTTCTCATCTTCTTCTTATTTGTGGTCTTATGGCACTTGGCAAACAACAATTTGGTGCATTACTGCCACCAGCTGGATTGGAGTGGAATGACTACCGATCACTTCCTGTTTGTGCATCTGCGTCTTAAAGGAATAGTCTTTTGTGGGGTGAGGCAGCTAGGTCCTGTGTTACAGCCTGAGGGGGGACTAGATAGATAGATAGATAGATAGATAGATAGATAGATAGATAGATAGATAGATAGATAGATAGATAGATAGATAGATAGATAGATAGATAGATAGATAGATAGATAGATAGATAGATAGATAGATAGATAGATAGATAGATAGATAGATAGATAGATAGACAGACAGACAGACAGACATACAGACAGACAGACAGACAGACAGACAGACAGACAGATAGAGATAGATAGATAGATAGACAGACAGACAGACAGATAGATAGATAGATAGATAGATAGATAGATAGATAGATAGATAGATAGACAGACAGACAGACAGACAGACAGACAGACAGACAGACAGATAGATAGATAGATAGATAGATAGATAGATAGATAGATAGATAGATAGATAGATAGACAGACAGACAGACAGACAGACAGACAGACAGACAGACAGATAGACAGATAGATAGATAGATAGATAGATAGATAGATAGATAGATAGATAGATAGATAGATAGATAGATAGATAGATAGATAGAATAGATGATAGATAGATAGATAGATAGATAGATAGATAGATAGATAGATAGATAGATAGATAGATAGATAGATAGATAGATAGATAGATAGATAGATAGATAGATAGATAGATAGATAGATAGATAGATAGATAGATAGATAGATGATAGATAAATGATAGATAGATAGATAGATAGATAGATAGATAGATAGATAGATAGATAGATAGATAGATAGATAGATAGATAGATAGATAGATAGATAGATGATAGATAGATAGATAGATAGATAGATAGATAGATAGATAGAATAGATGATAGATAGATAGATAGATAGATAGATAGATAGATAGATAGATAGATAGATAGATAGATAGATAGATAGATAGATAAATGATAGATAGATAAATGATAGATAGATAGATAGATAGATGATAGATAGATAGATAGATAGATAGATAGATAGATAGATAGATAGATAGATAGATAGATAGATAGATAGATAAATAGATAGATAGATAGATAGATAGATAGATAGATAGATAGATAGATAGATAGATAGATAGATAGATAGATAGATAGATAGATAGATAGATAGATAGATAGATAGATAGATAAATGATAGATAGATAGATAGATAGATAGATAGATAGATAGATAGATAGATAGATAGATAGATAGATAGATAGATGATAGATAGATAGATAGATAGATAGATAGATAGATAGATAGATAGATAGATAGATAGATAGAATAGATGATAGATAGATAGATAGATAGATAGATAGATAGATAGATAGATAGATAGATAGATAGATAGATAGATAGATAGATAGATAGATAGATAGATAGACAGATAGATAGATAAATGATAGATAGATAAATGATAGATAGATAGATAGATAGATAGATAGATAGATAGATAGATAGATAGATAGATAGATAGATAGATAGATAGATGATAGATAGATAGATAGATAGATAGATAGATAGATAGATAGATAGATAGATAAATAGATAGATAGATAGATAGATAGATAGATAGATAGATAGATAGATAGATAGATAGATAAATAGATAGATAGATAGATAGATAGATAGATAGATAGATAGATAGATAGATAGATAGATAGATAGATAGATAGATAGATAGATAGATAGATAGATAGATAGATAGATATCTGGTTGATTATTTGAAGTATCCATCATCAGCATGCTCTGAGGGTGGCTACAGTGTTTGCCAAAGCTTAAAAAGTAAAAAAAACAATCAATACTCTGTTTAGAAAATAACCAAAAAATTGAATTTGATGGATTGCACAGAACGAACATACAAAAAATTTGCCCAGACATTGTAGTAACAGTCAAAACTAGTAAAACTAGACATCCTCTGATGTGAAACCCCAGATCACTGAAGAAAAACATAAATGTTCTAATTTAAGTATGTGGTTTTAAACGGAGGGGGACATTTAGTCTAGGAATTCGGACACAATCGTTTAGCTGCATGCTGCGAAGTGGACCTGTCTGCTGTCCTGAGCAGGTCCCTATGTCCCCCTCCATCATCTTCAGGAACACTGAAGGTATGTGGGGGTTGATAGCCGGGCTCCTGGGGATCCAGAGGATCTTTGGAGAGCAGGATGCAGATGGCAGGGACGGTTGTCTCTACAGTTAGTGCTGCTGCTTCTTGCTGTGGACTCTCCCAGATCTCATTAATCGTCTTGTAGTGAAGTTTGGACAGCTGGTGCAGCCCCTCCACTTCACGTTTCAGGATTTCCACACAGGTGATAGTTTTGGTGATTCCTCTGCCTGACCCTGTGAAGACCACCTGTCTCACTGGTGTCCTGGTGCTGTCTCCTCCTCCTCGTCCTTGCATGCGATTTGACACAAACTGCAGTAAGTTGTGGATTTTGCTTCCTTCTTTGACTCTCATGCGGAGGATATCTGCTGGAATTCCGGGAATTGGACAGACACCATTTCCTTCTGATCGGCTGGTTCTCCTGAAGGTTGCTTTATTTGGTTGTGGAGCTGGAGAGACTAATGGGCCAGAGGAAGAAAATGAATGATGTTCCATCTCAGTTCTGCAGCATTTGAACTTTTCTTGTGTGGAAATATAAACAAATAAAAGAGCAGAATATCATTTCAGAGCCTGCAGCGTTGGCTTATTTACATGTGTCCCATGAGAAACAACAATCTTCTTCAAAAGTAGGAAACCAAAAGAAACTCTTCTGCCTTGTAATCCAAACTTTTCAGCAGTCTTAATCTCTTGTCTGTCTTTTGTCCATGTTGCCTTTTCTGTAATTTTCTGCTCAGTGAAATGACAGCCAGCAGAACAGGAAAAGCACGTCTTCCTCTTCTTTAAATCTCACTGATGTGAAGGAAAAGATGTCCTTGCATCATCTGTCCTTCAGCACTGAGGACAGCTGATGCCTGCAAACACAAGAAGCTAGGGGAAAGACATGTCGCGGGACACGGGGCTCTTAAAGGCATACACAGCATTTTGCCTCATTCAATGAAGCCTTTCTCATTTATAGCTCTTGTTTCCATTTGCTAAAAGGCTTGAAGGCTCACAGATCCGTCTGTGTGGTTTGTGTGAGTTACACGGATGAATGAACACCAGTTAATGAGATTTCACAAGCCACAGATGATCATCTTCTCAGACTCTGACACTCTTATTGTGCAGTTTTGCTGATATTGAGTCAAATGCAATCTTACTGAAATGAAGAGTGGAAGAGAAATGATTTGTGGTTTTTAGGATTAGAAGTATCATCTGCACTATCATCAGTGGGCCATATGGTCACAGAAAAATGTCTTCCTCTGGGCTGTAAAAGCAACTTCACAGCTCTCCTCCCTTCAGTTCATCGCCTGCTGGGCTGACCCAGAAAACGTTTGTCACACTGCTTATTCCTCTTCAGAGAGAATGACACGAGGACAGTCACCTTGAGACTGGTACCTTTTGGCCAAATCGGCACAAGAAATAATTTAAAGTCTGAATCTTAAAACGTTAAAGAATATAAAGAAAATATATTTCTGCTTTATTTAAGCAGGGCGGAGGTGTGTGTGTGTGTGGGGGGGGGGGGGCTGCAGGGCTCACATGGAACCAGTTTACTGTTATAATGGTGTATTCCTGCCTCACAGGATGGCGTGGACCCATTGTATTAAAAGACAAAACACAATTGCTGTTGTACTGCCTCTGTGATGATGACAAGTAGCTTGGGAAAGATCTACTTAAAAATATTCTAAAATAGATTTATTTAGTGGTTTTTGTTTAAGATCTGGATTTGTTCGTAAAGGTCACTGACTTGTTTCTGATAAAGTCAAATTTCTGGTGAAACTGGTTATTTGGAAATATTATAAACACACTTTACCCAAAGTGGATAGCTCCTTGATCAACCTCAAGTTTAAGAAATTGTTAGTAATTTTTGTTCATTATTCTATAAAAATGCACCTATAGCCAGTTTTTTTTAAAATATTAGAGATATTTAGTTTTGTTTGTTTGTTGGTTTTAATATCATGTGGACATATGTGGTCTATTTACATTTATCCTTTTCATTTCAAGATTTGTTTTTGTCTACATTTTTATTTTTTTCTGTTATGATGTAATAATTACATCATGTTTTTAAAATGATAGGCCACATGATCGCAATTTTTGAAATGACAACATTTTTCAAATAACAGTAATGCACCAGGTGAACTAGCTGTTTGCTCATCGATCTGATTAAAACAGATCTCTGTTTCACCAAACTGAGTCTTTGACCTTACCTGTTCATAACCCTGACTTGTTCATAGCCTCAGATCAAGCTAATCCTTTAACATTCAGCAGTCTCCACTGAATATTTGAAGAACTTCTTAGTCTCTATGTTTGTAGCCTCAATAATGAAACATCTTCAGAGTGAAACACAGCAAGCAGGTCCTTGACTTCAAATCTCTTAAAAAGTTGTAAAGTTTTATATTCAAATAAACATTTACAAAATATTGAAACTAGGCAGTTTTGGCTTGCTTTTATCGCCCCCTAGTGTCCTTTTGTAGAACCAAAGGCAAAACTTTTCTCCTCGCTGTGCGTTTGTCTTGTTTCACACCTTCATAAAAATTGAAACGTCTCCCCAGCCTTAGTGTCTACAGAAGTGATTCAACACTAAATTAAAACAACCAGCTGTGTCCATGATCTAAAACAAGCAGGAAACGTGCTGAAAGCAGACTGCAGCGCTGGGTATGTCAGCTCAATTTTTTCTTTAGTCCCAGCAGAGCGGTCCACCTGTCTGAAGTTACAGGTGTCATTTTCTGGCCACAAGGGGCGATAGAGGCCGGGTGACATTTCATTTACCTGTAAAGGTTCATTTTAGCACATACTGGCTCTAGAAAATGATTTAAAAATATAAAAAAGTTGCAATGTCTCCCTTTAGCAATGTGTATTAAAAAAAGTCTCTAGCTATAAACAGTGATAGTTTTCTGCCTCAGCTGAGCTCTGAATCGATTATTTGTGAAATTTCCTGCTGGATTTTTGCATCCTGAGTGTCGATGTGCACGTCTCCCACCTGACCGTTTTCATACCTGTTACCGACAGAAACAGAACATGGATGAAGACTGAAACCCTGCTGACATTTCTGATTGAGCTTAAGGGCAGAAATAAATGAATGTTCAATGTTTTTACTCACACAAAGAGGAAACGTGTGCACACATGGTCGGAGACTGGACAGACCCAAATGTGTCCGTGTTTCTGGAGGACTTTAGAGGTGATAACTGGGACACGGAAAGCTTTGAGGTTAAACATTGTGTTATAAAACGCTGACCTTTTGTGAATCGTACTCACCTTCACACAGAGCAACACAGTTTAGATTATGGCTACACAGAAACCTGGTTTGTCCCGGCTGTTCCTGAAACAAAGACAGAATCCAAAACATGAATGAAGAAACAAGAAATGAAAAATTAGATATGTGCAGTAAAAGACAGTCTGACCTCTTCCATTTTCTTTATTTTGTTGTAATTCTTTAGAAGTTCTTCTCTGGTTGGTACTTGATGCTGACCTTTACCCATCTCTAAACAAAGAGCAGAGGGTATCATCACTTCAGAGAGATTAAATACGTTAAGAGAAAAGTGCTGAAATGTTTGATCCCACCGGAATATCCAAAAGAAATATTTGAAATGGGGCTCAAATAGATGCCTTTTCCATATGCAGCTCCGTGGAGCTTCATAGAAAATAAAAATAGGATAAGATCATTTCCGTTTGCTTGTCTGCATTCCCTTCTGGCACATTAGTTTCCTTATGTGGATCTGAAACAATAAACTTAATAAATAGCTTGACTGATGTTGTGTTTTACCTGTAATTTTGTGTAAGAGGCATTTATGAGACCTTTCCTCAGAATGGAGTGCCAGTTTTCTATGTGGGACCCACTAAAAGAAAATAATATAAAATGGATTACACTCAAATAAAAAACCTGAAAGTTAGCATCGATCTTACTCACTGAAAAGCAAAAGTGCTGCCATAAAGTTTCCTGGCCGTCTGAAAGCGAAGCTCCTTGGATGGAGGGCTGCTGATCAGCAGGAACTGATGAGATGTTCTCATGAACTTCAGCTGCTGCAGGAAACCAGGAAAACCACTGATATGAGAACGGAGTAAAAATGATAGAAAGGCAGGATAGAAAGTTACAAGTCACCATTGTTCTATTTTGACTTCACACATTGCCACAAGCCCATGAACAACTCTTGTCTACATGACCTTTCAGTTTAGAGGAATTTGCACTGAACTGTGTCAACCTGATAATCTTTATGCATTGCTTTTGCCTTGAATGCCAATATTTGCTTTAAAGACTGATGTTAAAGGTGAGGTGCAAACAACATATCAAATATCACATAAAAAATACGGATTTTTTTTTACTGCTTCTGAATCATACAATTCTGGAAAATCCTTATCCAGTCATCATGAGCGTTCTTGATGGTTGGATCATGAGTCATTCATTAAATTTGCCTCTGATCATCTCTCCTTCCTCTGCACATACACGAATCACTTGTTCTCGGCTCAAAGCAGCTGAACAGGAAGTGAAGCCAGAGTCGGGTTGCCTAGTGTAACGGATGTTTGTGAGGTGTTCTGTGTCTGGTTCTGTTGGTTATGGTAAAGGTTTATGTGACGGACCTGTTGTCTGTGAACACAGCCTCTCCTCTGTCAGCTGGTAGAGTCATTGGTGTGTGTGTGTGTGTGTGTGTGTGTGCGTGCGTGCGTGCGTGCGTGCGTGCGTGCGTGCATGCGTGCGTGTGTGTGTGTGTGTGTGTGTGCACGCGCGTGCCTTGTTTTTTACCATAAAAATGCCACACTATATTAGCTAGAATTAAAAATTGTTATGTGACACAGTTGCGTTACGTTAGGAAAAGGTGCCAACAATGGTTTAAAACATAAAACTGATGCGTTGGGAGAGGCGTTGTGGGTTCCTGTATTCTTGCGGTCTTTAGCTTACTTGGATGGTAAGAAAAACTTCTCATACTTTACCTTTTAGATCAGCTATTTTCTTTACACTAATGAGGGCATGACAGTGCCTTGTCAGCATTCATCAAATTAAATTAAATTTAAATATTATTTTAGTTTTACAAACTACTTAAAATGAAAGCTTGATCGTCTTAATTCTGTCGTACAACATCTTGTTGAGCGATTTCAGATAAAAATTACAAATATACAATATATACCGGTAATAATAAATGAATGAATGGGTTTAGAAGTCTTTTATGGATGCTCTAACGTACCTTGTTCAGTGGAAGCTTGACTATGTGAGACCGGTTGCTTGCTAGAATCCTGTTATGAAACACGCACACATCCGGACATTAATTTCAATATATCAGAATTTTTCTTTGATATTTGATCAAAGATTTTACGTCCTACCATTGTAAAAAGGGATGAGCGAGAGGGTCGATCTTGTCCATGTGCTTCTTTACCTCGCTGTATGGACCCTGGGTACGATAACCAACCAGATCCAGTCAGTCAAGCTTTCTGATCGTCATAGAAACAGGTATTTATTGTAAACCTCCTCACCTGTGCCATCCTTCTGACTGACAACACACCATCCAGAGCTCTCTGCAGCCTTTCATAGCTCTTTTTCTGTTCAAAAGAAAGGTTCAATGCTTCACATTAGCAGTACTATCCATCAGTAATCCCGTTCAGCTGATACCTTTGGATTAAAAGCCAGAGTTTTGGGGTTGAACGGGTCAACAACAGAGGGGTATGGCTCAAATATGATGCTTTTGCGAGACGACTGAAGAGCAGCTCTGCACATGGCCACCAACAGGTCAATCACCTGTAAGAGAAGAAAGATTACTGACACCTTTCTCTCACATCACTTCATCAATCTGCAGAAGTGCTAAGTGACCTCTGCTCCAGTCGCCACCTCTTCTGTAGCTCCAGACATCACACCCAGTGTGTGGAAGGAAAACACACACAGCTCTCTGGTGCAAACTGCTGTCTGCAAACACACAGGAGGCAGAAGAGTGAGCAGATGTTTCTTCCGTTCCTCAGACACTAAGAGGTTTTACCTTCAGCATGGGGCCGTTTTGAAAGACGTGTCGCTCATCACAGACAACACAGTATTCGTTCAATGTTGCAAGTCTCTGCTCAGCATACCTCATTATCTGTGCAAAAACAATTGTCATATTCTGTTTATTTTTATGTAACAAGTCATATTAACGCCAAAATCCTCTTTGATGATGTTTTCATGGCTCATGGTAAATGAACCAAAGCATTTGTTGGGAGACTGTGCAAACAAACCGTTAGTTGTTCAGTATTTCTGCTTATTTTAAAGTAGGATCCAAATCCTGCATGTTTTAGATGTTTCCCTTTACCCAACACGACTGATTATGCCTACCATCAAGTTCTAAAGAAGGTTGATAATATCCCACTGATTCAAATGTGGCACACTGGTGCAGAGAAACATCTAAAACATGCAGGAGTACGGTTGGACGTCACTTATTTACACCAACCTAATTTGATCCAGTTTGACTTCTTTGTTCTGTTGGGTTCATCTTTTGATGTTTCACCACTGAACTTCTGGACAGATTTGTGTCAGTCCTGATGTTTTATTTCCTGTGATTCTTGTGTTTCATCCAGATGTTTGGATTTCTTTTGTATTTTCCAGTTTTTTTCCCTCTGCTGTTAAAGGTTTACACCAACATGCTGAGATTTATTGTTTTTATTCTAATTATGAATGTTTTTTATTGCTGCTCTGAACCATTTTATTTCCCCTTTAATTGGTTTATTTATGGCAACTTTTTTTTTTTACAAAAAAAAATCTGAAGAACAAGAGAATGTAGCTCAGCTCATGTCTGGTGTGTATGGGGTCCTGGGTTCAAATCCAAATAGTCTTCTGCTGCCTTTATGCACAAATATATTTAGAATTTGTTAAACTTAACTAAAGAACGTTAATAAAATCTGATTAAACTGAAAACACTCCAATAATAATATAATTCTAAAACGTCAGATTCAGTAAATCATCAGATGAAAAGTAATTATTTTTCCAAGGAAATCAAATGATCGGATAAACTCTTGGTTTTTCCCTCCGCTTGACCTACATGAGTGGTGAGTGTCAGCAGAGGAGAAGTAAAAACATTAGCTCGGTTTTTTTATGCATTTATTTCTAAACATGATACAAAAGCTCGTGGTTTGTTATCTTTTATCACATCACAGCTTTACCTGAACCAAGAGGCCGTGCTGCAGGCTGGATGTGCTTTTGCAGTGCCTGATAGCTTGGGAGGTGAACAACAGCTCCATCAGCTGTTTGGTGCTCAGCTGAATTGAAGATTTCACCACTGAAACCACCACTCTCTAGAAATAAAAGAATAAAATTATTATCTTAATTTCACATATTTGAAATACACGGATAAACTACTAAACCAGGTTTAATTTTTAATTTTTGTTCTTACTAAAACGATTGTAGAAACAATCAGTGGCGATAACAGGCGATATTTAAAAGATGGATTATAGAATTTCTATTTTTTAAGGTAATGTTTGGTACTGCTCGCATCACCAGATCCTCCGTCACCACTAACTGTAAATGATTAATTCATCTTGAGCCAAAAGAAACTTATTTGACAAATAAAACTGTTGAGGTGGTGATCACGTTTGGGCTTCATTTACTTTATTTGCCATGATAAATGCAGGAGTCCTGACCTTTCCACTGGGGGTGTAGGTGAAACGTTCTCCAGCTGGATTCTTGATGGTGTAGGAAGTCGTCTGGTTTGGGAAACGTTTTTGTTTCATTGCTGGTGAATGTGTCCCTCCTTTAACAGCTGCTTCCTGGATCTTAATTTGCCTGATCATAGAAGATGAAAGGTAAATAAAGACCTCTAATATCAGATTGATTGAACAGCAGCTGTGATAATCAGCTTTGTCGTACCTGGAAAGTGGCAGCCATATGCTGAGTCGAGCACTGAGCTTCTTGATGGTCCCGTTTTCTCTGAACCAGCTGTGTCTGCTCCTCTGTCGGATCACGGTGTTGTTGTTTGTTGTGTGTTTCCACTCTTGAGATATGAAGACTGTGAGGATCCTGGAGAGCACAACCGGTATGTGGATCAGGATGTTAATGATGAACTATGAACTTTTAGGTGTGAACACTCACTGCTGCAGCTGTTTTCCTGCACTGAAGTGATCCATGTTAGAAGGTTGAAAGACGGCAACTGTTGGAGCTGTGGTGAGAAGCCTCATTTAATCAGATGTTGTGTTGATTTAAAGAGCAAGTCACCCCCAAATCAATTTTTTATGCTGATAAACTGTATAGATGAGTGTCTAATTGTGCTGTAGACACATGTGGTTAATAATTTGGCACTTTAGTGCATGTTTTATATTGAGACGGTGTGTGTGTGTGTGTGTGTGTGTGTGTGTGTGTGTGTGTGTGTGTGTGTGTGTGTGTGTGTGTGTGTGTGTGTGTGTGTGTGTGTGTGTGTGTGTGTGTGTGTGTGTGTGTGTGTGCATTTGCTAGCAGCTTTGCCCTCTTGGTCTGCCAGGCAACAGCATTTGTTGCATTTTTCAAACAGGAAGTGGCAGTGGAGTGAGACTCTGGTAGGGGGTGACTTGCTCTTTAAGAAAAGTTCTGTTAACTGCTCTCACCAGGTCCTTCACGATACTGGGACAGGGAGAAGTGCAGCCGGACAACGATGGGTTCTGATGGATTAATCCTCCACGCTTTACACACTTTCACCTGATGACAAGAAAGAAACACAGAATAGAATAGAATAGAATAGATTTTTAATCCAGCAGTAGGGAAATTCACTCATTACAGCAGCAATTATAGAAAAGAAAGAACAGTAATACCAAAAGTAAGGCAGCAAGCTGTTTTTGTAACCTTAAACCACTAAAACAATGAATAAAAGCACAGAAGAAAAACAGCAAAGATTTTCATCCTAAATAAACACAGTAAACATGAAATCACCCTCTAATTGTTCTGATAGAATTCCTTTTTATTAGATAAAGGGTAATTCATAAATACTCCAGTCATTATGTAATGTCTAAAGTTACAGGGAGTTCAGACACAGTGGCGTAAAAAGTGTGTATGCAGTGAATGCAACGTGTAGGGGCACCAGGCTGGATCGGGCGCCAAAGCGATGATGCAAAAACATTTTGGTCTACATAGTGTTTAATCACAGCTGTATTTTTGTCTCATTGTGACACCAGACCTTGGCTCTGTTGGTGCCTATTAGAGACAATATTCTACAAAGTTTTCATAACAACACACACAACTTAGATCTGTGGCTTGTGAATAAAACCAACTACTCCAACCGCACCCCAGCATGATGTGTGTGTGTGTGTGTGGGGGGGGGGGGGTGGGGGGGGGGGGGGGGTTGGGGGGGGGGGTGCTATTATGTGTCTGCATACCCCTCCGATAGTAGGTAGGTGCACCACTGGTCAGATACAAAAGTCATTTCTGGTTGATTCAAGCTGAGTAAGGCCTAAATGAAGGAGACACGTAAACCAAAATTATCTTCAGCTGATAGATTTTACATAATTTTGAGTCTGTGCCTTGTCTTAAATATTTTTATTTTAAGACAGTTTATCTGACAGTTTCTACCAGAATAAACTATATTTAATCCATCACATCACAGAAATGTGACTTTTTGATTTAACAGCTGAAATAACCCTGTATTTTTAGATGCTTCATTCTGAGAAACAGGTTTTTTATTCAAATATATTTCCTTTTTTATCATATAA